AACTAATTATAACTCACAATACCGTGCCGGAAACTAATACCCGGACCCACACACATGACATGACAGTGACGAGGTCATGGCACGACGTGACAAGGGTCCCGGGCCTCTTACATTTTGTTTCATATGTCTGAGTTTGTTTATAGTGTTCAGATCTTCTTTGGTTTCTCCTTTGCCGGTGATGTGAGGAAAATCTCAAGTATTTCCTTATATTCGAGCCCTTTTATCTCGGGTTCCAGTTTTGTGACCAGTTTCTAGAATCTCTCAATTATTATTGTCGTGCCTTACAAGATAAGGGTTCCATACTGGTGTTGCGTGTGCTGCAACGGGCCTCAGTTAGGTGGTGTATATAAGTTTATAAATCCATTCATTTTATTCGCAATTCTAAAAGCTCTTTCTATATTAGTGACGGTGGTGTGGAGGAGACAGTAGTGGCATTTGCTGTGGTTGTGATCCGTAGTGATGGTGATTTTGTGGTTCCTAAGCGCATTATACTTTTCATAATATATATATATATATATATATATATATATATATATATATATATATATATATATATATATAACCCTAGAACCTGGGCAGAGGTACATCCGCTCAATAGGTCGAACAAGCAAATGTGTGTGTGTTTTATATTTCCGACCCCTTTTTGCCGAAAGGTTAAGTTTACTTGAGTTTATGTGAGCTCGGCCACCATTTTCTTCTCTAGCGTCCTCCCGGATGAAAGAAAACGTGAGTTGACATCACTAAAATACTTGACTAACTATTCTATAATGGTTAACCAGCTCTTGATCTATACTCTGTACTCCCTCATATAGAATAAAGTAATTACAAAATTAAATTCGACCAGGCTGTTGGTTAACTTATTAGAGAAACTGCAACATTTTACTCCCCCGGTTGTCGGGGACAGGAAGCCTGCACTTAGGCTTGAATCGGAGTTCCTCATCGGTTAAATTACTGGTCTTCTCCCGGATGCAACCCACAACAGCTTCCTGACTCCAGGGTACACCTATTTGCTGCTAGGTAAAGAGGGGCACTCGGTGAAGGGAAACGTTGCCAATCAATTTTGTCTTGCCCGGGAATCGAACCCGGAATCCCGAAGAATGAGTCGAGAATGAAGTCTGAGTTTATATGCACCGAGAAGTACAATAAACCTGTCGATGTATGTATTCCTTGTGAAAAACAACTATTAACGCGAAAATTAGGCATCGTATGTAATTATATGATTAAGATGCACTGCATTAAATTATTATTATTATTATTATTATTATTATTATTATTAAGTTTATAATAGAATGCCAAAGTAGCGTAAGTCTGTCTTGTTCAACGTTTTCTCTTAAGTCGTAGTGGGGTTCGCGTACCGTTTTCTATAAAATTCCCAGGGACGACTCTAATATGTATAAAACTCAGCTTTTGATTCAATATTTGTATCAATATTGATTCAATATTTCTATCACTATTTTTTTAACACATGGCCAGGCGTTGAATAGACCTTGTGTGATGCAGGCCGGCTTCTCCACTTGCCACTTCACAAAAATAAGTTACTAATTGCTCGAATCCAACCTTACCTAAGCTTAGCTAACCTACCCTACCAACCTAACATTACCTTGCCTTACCTACCGATGGAAACGAGGAATCACAATAACGTGACTGAAATATGTTGACCAAACCACATATTAGAAAATGAAGGGACGACGACGTTTCGGTCCGTCCTGGACCATTCTCAAGTCGATTAACCGATGGACTCACGAATAGAAAATATAGCAGCCCGTCAATTTAGCGAACCGTGTGTATATATGGGCGTATATGCACACAAAGAGAGTTTACTGTAGTCCAGGACTATATTCAGGCCCACGGTATACTTGCTGGTTGGTCAGTAAGGTAGAGGTGGCCTCAGTAACCCGTATTCTTAGTACTCAGTACTCACGTCAATAATGGCGTGAGTGAGTACATACCTGGACGAGGCCGTAGAGCCTTCATACCGCTCTACGTACAACGGGACCCGGATAACAGTAACGCTGTAAATGTCATGGCAATACTACTTCTTACCAACCGGATCTCTTGCAAAAAATGGCGGCAGAGTTTTTCCATGAAGGCGGCCAGCGAGCATCAGATTGTCCCAGGGCGGAGTGTCCCAAGACGCCTTGCTCTAACACCCACGTGTTTGGGTGGAATCTCCAGGTCGTTGTGTCCAAGGACTAAATCTCCATAGAGGAGTCTCCAGGGTGAGGTGCTCTCAGGTCTCCATCCAGGGTGGGCTGTAAGACTCAACATAAAATTATATAGTTTCATAGGCTGCATAAATATTTTCCACCACCCTGTATATGTGTATATGTAACAGGTTATCCCGTTACTGATTGCTGCAAGAGCGTTGGGTCCAGCCCCTGTGTGGGCGTTCATATCGTGCGACTCATTAGGTGTGGGCGTTCATATCGTGCGACTCATTAGGTGTGGGCGTTCATATCGTGCGACTCATTAGGTGTGGGCGTTCATATCGTGGGGCTCATTAGGTGTGGGCGTTCATATCGTGCGACTCATTAGGTGTGGGCGTTCATATCGTGGGGCTCATTAGGTGTGGGCGTTCATATCGTGCGACTCATTAGGTGTGGGCGTTCATATCGTGAGACTCTTCAGGTGTGGGCGTTCATATCGTGAGACTCTTCAGGTGTGGGCGTTCATATCGTGAGACTTTTCAGGTGTGGGCGTTCATATCGTGCAACTCTTCAGGTGTGGGCGTTCATATCGTGAGACTCTTCAGGTGTGGGCGTTCATATCGTGAGACTCTTCAGGTGTGGGCGTTCATATCGTGAGACTCTTCAGGTGTGGGCGTTCATATCGTGAGACTTCAGGTGTGGGGCGGCTACATCGCAGAATATTCTCACTCACAGCTCTGGGTGGAGGCAGGTGGATGAGGAGTTATGTAGAATAAAGCAGATCTTGGTCAATAATGGTTTCTCCAGTGGTTTTGCCGAGGACATTATAAAAAGTAAGGTGGCGAGGGGTGCAACAGACAACGGAACAACCAATACACAGTAAGGAAATGTATATGTTTATTTCTCAGAATGTTTGGCAATATGTTTATTGTTTGTGATGTGTGTCTATATATGTATGAACACGTGGTACTGAACGGGGTGAGAATAGCTTGAGCTACCTCATCCCTTTGTGTGTATTTTACCTCAATAAACGTATTTCAATTTCAATTTCAATACACAGTACCCGTACTTTCAATAAAATTGTTCTACTTCTCCACGGCCGACAAAGCGGAGGAAAGAGCCCTAAAAGAGATCATTGAGAGGAACGTTACCCCAACTGACGTCAACCAAAAGATAAAAATAAACAATATATTATAAGATTAATAAAACCGCCGACCTGGTAATGAAGAATTCTCCCGACATGAAGAAAAACGCCTTGAAAGAGATCAACGTTGTCTACGCCTTCACGTGCCCACTTGGGGATTGTCTCACCCACCAACGAACTGAGTTCGTTGGTGAGACAACAACGTCCCTCTCTAGGCGATTAACAATGCACAAACAACGGGGCTCCATCAAGGAACATATAATCGCCACACACAACGAGACGATCACCAACGATATTTTGACGAGCAACACCGAAATAATTTATAGATATAATGACAATAGAAGATTAGACATCAGTGAGGCACTGCATATCAAGAAATCTAGACCAGCAATTAATAGCCAGCTAGTACTCAGTTACACTCTACCCACTTCAAGACCCCGGGCCAACGCAAAAGCAGGACCAAATGACCCTTCAACAGAAACGGAAGCAACCAGAAAAACATAAGCCTCCAACATGTCACACTTTATGTTGATACATTTAATACCTTATTAATATCCCCAATGTAATGCCATTCATCAATATGTTTGCTAACCACATCACCATAAGATATAACCAGGTGCTGAGCACAGTAGAATTTGTCTTTGAAAATGTAAGAAGTAAAAAAACGCATCACTTTTGATGCGTCAGACCCAATAAAAAGTAAAAATGAACTTTCAAGAGTTAATTTTTCAACTTCCTGCTTCAGTAAAGAAAAACATAAAGAATATCGAGAAGATTCGTGCCAGAATCATAAATCTAAAACTTTGTCGTTTTCAATTAAATTTGTTTAAAAGAAAAACTGCTACCAAAATATACTAATATATAACGCTAGGCTCCACGGCCCAGCGTTACCTAATCCAACATATCCTAGCCTAACTTAACATAATCTAACGTATCCTAACATATTCTAGCCTATTAACGTACACTGGTCCTGAAGAAAAGGACAATATAATATGCGGTGAGCTAGCAGATTGGTTATCGAATACAATTCTATTATTAATTAACGCAGTCTATATGTTCAAAGCTATTCAACATAGCGAAAAGGTTTCGAAAAGTTCAGTTAGTGTAATACTAGCAGTATAATAGTCAGCATAATACCTTACCAGTTTAATAATACCAGTATACCAGTAATACCAATACAATAATACCAGTATAATAGTCAGTATAGTACCTTCAGTATAATGGTCAGCTCAGCTGGTAGCCAGTAGAGACACAGGTCAGGCATTAATTGAAAGGTCAGGCCACGCAATAATCCAACATGGTCGTTATCTAAATGTTAGTGTTGTCTCCAGGTTACGCTATGTTACGCTTCGTTACGCAATACTGCACCTTACTAATGCATCTCTTTAGGGGGGGTTTAAGCCCTTCATTTCGATCGGTTTCATTCAACTATTTTCCCCTTGTTTTCTGACCAATTTTCACGACTTGGAACGCATTTACTGTGAAATGGTTCCCGGGGGTGTTTGAACCCTGGCAACCCACCTAATAATAAGAGAGAAACCATTTTAAATTAGACGTTCATCGAATCGTAGAGCTTGAACGAGTCTACAGGTAAACCACAGAGGGTTTACCTGTACACAAACCTCCTGGAGGGCCCGGGGTGGAGCACACGTGCGGTACGAGAGGTTAGGCGCGTGTTCCGGCAGCCACGACGTGTTTGTATACGTAACATGGGCTCAGTGGGCGCCAGAGCAGCGCACGATGTGGGCGGTGTTCTCGCACGTGTGTGTGTGTGTGCTTTTCTCAGTGACCAAGTCTCCTATGTTATAAAGGCATTTATCGATAATATTACGATATTAAATAGCTATGACTATTAACACTCATCACGTCCTGACCCCCATAGGTTTGGCGTTAACATGAAACTCGCCCTTCGGGGCAAAAATTAAAACGAATGACATAGTCGTATATACGTGGCCAGGAATAAATGAGTTTTCTGCAGTCCGACACATCTAAGTCGTTACAGTGACAGGGGGTGACAACCCGAGGTGTCACCCTAGATGTAACGCCCAGTGGCGTGAGACAAGAGACAGGGCCCAACAGCACGCTAACACCAGCATAATGGTGCCTCACGGAGACTAAGTAAGCGCCAGGGTACCTCTACAGCCGTGTTTCGGGTCGCGTGACCTTTGACCTGAGCGGCGTGATGCGGGTGAAGGAGGGCAAGACTGGCGGCGAGGGTGGTCAGGGCGGCGTGGCCGCCTCCGGCAGAATGTCAACACTAGACTATCTGGTGACCAAGATGCGTCGACACGTCCGTGCTGCTTCAGCAGACTCTCTCACTTCCCCCACCACACCCACCATGTGAGTATACCCCCACACACCCACCCTGTGAGTATACCCCCACACACCCATCCTGTGAGTATACCCCCACACACCCACCCTGTGAGTATACCCCCACACACTCACCATGTGAGTATACCCACACACACCCACCATGTGAGTACACCCACACACCCACCATGTGAGTATACCCCCCATACACCCACCCTGTGAGTATACCCCCACACACCCACCATGTGATTAGACGTAACCCACTTAGAAGAGCTTTAAGAGTCCCTGAATCTTGCAGTAACCACCCTGAAACCATCAACACTGCCACTCGTCTGGTCAAAAAAGGTGTCCAGCAGCTGGACACTCATAAATACTGTCAAACAGTATCCTCCCCCGCGATAGCAGCTACACAGTAAGGACTGGCAATTTAAATCCGACCTCAGAACACCGTATATCATTTCACGACCAAAGATCACATTCGCTCCAAAAAAATCTACCATTTACGGGCTATTCGTGCCCGTGCCACCTCTTGGGTAGCTTAATCTTCATCAATCATCAATCACTGTGTCCATGGCAGTTCTTATCTCTCCCGGCATGACCGTTCACAGTTGCATGCCGTTGTTCTTGTGATAAGGAGGTTAAACATCTACGCAAGAATATCACAATAGCATGCTATAGCGCATACATACAAACACACACAGTTGAGAGGCGGGACCAATGAGCTGAAGCTCACCTCCAGCAAGCACAATTAGGCGAATACACATCCCCAGGATGCAGCCTGCAACAGCTGTCAAACTACCAGACACCTATTTACTGTTAGGTGAACAGAGGTATTAGGTGAATGAAACTGTGCGCCCGTGCGGCACTTTAAAGGGGGTAGAGAACAGGAACAAGATCTTTCTAAGTTTCCAGCTCAAGTCCCTATCATGTTCAACATAATTTCTGCAAAGCCAGGTGTTTTCTTCAAACAAAGCCGCGCTAGCCTAATTATTCCATAATACAACATTATACAATACGTTTCCAAAAAAGGTATACACCATGTACTATTGTTCATGTACTATTGTTCATTTGCTGTCAGTCCCTATGTATGCATATTTAGTATAATTACGTAATAGTTGTATCATCATCACGGTGTAAAATAGGACCAAAATATCCGTAAATACCCAAAGCTTATTATAGCCTAGTTTGTTATTGTTCTTCCCCCAGAACTGAAAACCACAATCGTTTTTATATCCTCGTTAACCACAATAATTTGGATTGTTCTTGTAACTGACGCTCTTTTGTTTAAAATTATTATACACTAATAACCTTTTTCTTATATTTACAATCCCTTGAAGGCGTACTAGAAAGGGATGACGTCTTTGAAGTACAGAGGCGCAGGAAAGGTGCTGAAAATATATAGCTTAAAACACGAAACAATTTGCACAATTAAATCACAAGTGGCGTGGTTAATTTCACGAAAATATTGAGGCCGTAAAATGGGATCGAACCCTCGTCCCTGAACTTTCCAGGAACACGTACTATCGACTAGGGAGTTTGCAGCGACGGAGGTTCGAACCCATTTAAGGCTTCTGTATTTTCCTACACGAAACGATGATGTTGGATAAATTTAGACTTGAAAAATACTAAAAAGCTGGTTAGAAAATTTAGGGTTGCAGTTCTGTGGAACAAGTCTCCTGGTGACCTCATTAAGTTCAGTAGACAATTTTCGGCATATTTAGAAAAGCCACAATAACGTGGCTGAAAATTGTTGACCGAACCACACACTAGAAATTGAAGAGATGACGTTTCGGTCCGTCCTGGACCATTATCAATGGATAATGGTCCAGAACGGACTGAAACGTCGTCGTCTCTTCAATTTCTAGTGTATGGTTTAGTCACTATTTAAAAAATTATAGGAGTAGGATACAGATATCTCCGGAGCAGCCTAGCATGGACCAATAGGCTTTTTACAGCTTTCTGTATTAAACTTGCATTGTAACCTGCCACACGAAGCTCTTCACATTTGCTTGGTTTATTGTGTTGAGTAATATGTTAGCAGCTTGGTAAAGAATGCTTTCCTATGAAATGTTTATCAAGTAATTCGTTACGGTACGTTAGTTTCTCTGACATATTGTGGAATGTACCGGATTCCCTGACGTATAACACGCCTATCCTACAACCACATTTTGTGGATTTTTGTTTTCTTTGTGTTTCATCATGCATTTATTGAAAGATGTTGAGATGGTTTTGTAGGGGAAACATATGGTTTTGTGGAAGTCGATACAACATGTACTCAAGAGGTGGTGGAGCAAAACCTTGAGTCCTGTCCTGCTGCAAATTCTCTAATTATCTGATGAAATTTTCAGTTAACAGTTCATTAACTAAAGCAGTGGTTACCATTTCACCACCAAGGACCCCTTGAGTTTAAACTAATTTCCTCAAGGACCTCGGTTTTTGAATGGCCTAACGACTAGAGTCAAATTGGTTAACTAATAACAAACTCGTTACTCTAGTTTCATCTCTCAATTGAAAGACCCCCCAGTACTATACCTTGCAGACTCCCCCAGGGGGTCACAGACCCCAGGTTAGGAACAATTGAACCTATTAATTATAAATAGTTCAGCCTATTTTTATTGTTAGTTGTAAACATTTCCGTCAGCGGACGAGTTTTAAATGTACATTTTCCTCGAACCCCTGAAATAAGTGTCCTTGGTGGCTTATGCTTCAACGACTCTCTATAAATATTTATTAGACTGAGAAAACTGGACCTTACCAGACTGGAGGAAAGGAGAAACTGAGGGAACATGATAACATACAAGATTATGAGGGAGACTGATAAAGTAGACACAGCAGCGTTGTTCAAAGCTGGGGAGAGCAGAACGAGGGGTCACGGATGGTAACTAGAAACGCAAATAAGTTAAAGACGTCTGAAAAAAAAATAGTTTTCAGTGTCAGAGCTGTTAATGGTTAGTCGTAGAAGTCGTTGAAGTGTACACACACACAGTTCGATTCACAATTGTAAATGTAAACATGATAAAAGCGTGAGAAATGACTCATTGCATTAATCTAAGAACGTCCTGAAGGCGAGGCTAGGATCCTAGCTCGACCCTGGTACCACATCTAGGCAAGTACACCCCTCTTGCTCGACAATCACCTGGGGGTACCATTGTCTTAGTGGGTTAATATTCGAGCCCCAGATGCCAGGCTTTCACTCTCCTCCTGGACCTGACTGCCTGAGTGTTTGTGTGTGTGTGGGGAGGGGGGGGGGGCAACAGGTAGTGTCTGCCTGCTGTGATACCCAAGGGAAACACTAGAGAGGGTGAAGGGTCAAATCCAGAAGCAAAAACACACACACACATATACACATACATACACACAGTTAACGGATGGAATGCATTAGGCAGTGATGTGGTGGAGACTGACTCCATACACAGTTTCAAATGGAGATATGATAGAACCCAGTAGGCTCAGGAACCTGTACACCAGTTGATTGACAGTTGAGACGCGGGACCAAAGAGCCAAAGCTCAACCCCCGCAAGCACAAATAGGTGAGTACACAAAGTAATGAAGATAGGTGTAGGGAGCTGGAGGCCAGATACAAGGTACCATGTTAGAGATGAAATTCTTAAAGAATCGGAGAGTGAGAAAGACCTGGGGGTTGGTATCACGCCAGACCTGTCCCCTGAAGCTCACATCAAGAGGATATTATCAGCGGCATATGTAAGGTTGGCCAACATAAGAACGGGCTTTAGAAACTTGTGTAAGGAGTCATTCACAGCCATGTATACCACACATGCCAGACCAGTCCTAGAGTATGCAGTTCCAGCCTGGAGTCTGTTCCTCGTCAAACACAAAACTAAATTGGAGAAGGTTCAGAGGTATGCCACCAGACTAGTATCAGAGCTATGAGGTATGAGCTACAAGGAAAGACTACGGGAAATAAACCTCACGTCGCTGGAACAAAAGAGAGTTAGGGGAGATATGATCACCACATACAAGATTCTTAAAGCAATTGATAGGGTAGATGAAGACAGTTTATTTAACACAGGTGGAACACGCACAAGGGGACACAGGTGGAAATTAAGTACCCAAATGAGCCACAGGCATATTAGAAAGAACTTTTTGAGTGTCAGAGTAGTTAATAAATGAAATAAATTAGGAAGTGATGTGGTGGAGGCTGACTCCATACACAGTTTTAAATGTAGATATGATAGAGCCCAATAGGCTCAGGAACCTGTACACCAGTTAATTGACAGTTGAGAGGCGGGACCAAAGAGCCAGAGATCAACCCCCGCAAGCACAACCAGGCGAGAACCACTATGCGAGCACACGTGCACTATATACAATACCCCAGAAGGAGAAAGTGGTGCGCCACCAGCTGGTATCATTACATGATACACTAGTGGGACCCGCAGCCTCTTCAACACAGGAAGGAAGACGGCAAGAGATTATAATAAGCTGAGAGATACGCTGCCGGGTACAGGTAGTTAGGCAGGGCTGGCACAAGACAGGGCACTACACTCTTCCTCTACACCACTCCCCCTCCCTCTACACCTTCCCCCTCTCCTCTACACCTTCCCCCTCTCCTCTACACCGTCCCTCTTCCTCTACTCAACTCCCCCTTCCTCTACACCTCCTCCCCGGACTAAGAGTGCCGCATCCTGGTGTCTAAAGGGTGGGAGACGGGTTGGGGGAAGGGGGAGTAATTTAGGTTTCTACCCAACAAATGACTAAGTGAATGCATGTGCTTTGTTAGAGAGAGAGAGAGAGAGTACCTGGGCTGATATTATCAGGATGTGTTTGAATTAGGCAATCATGTGTCTCTGTTTCTGTTAAGCTGTTTCTGGTGTGTGTGTGCTCACCTAGTTGTGCTTGCTGGGGTTGAGCTTCGACTCATTGGTCCCGCCTCTCAACTAGTATACAGATTATTGAGCCTATTAGGCTCTATCACATCTACATTTGAAACTGTGTATGGAGTCTCCATATCACTGCCTAGTGAAATCCATTTAACTACCCTGACACTGAAAAATTTATTTATGTTTCTGTGG